ATATATATATATATATATATATATATATATATATATATATATATATATGTTTTTTTCAAAATAATTCCCAAAATCTTGAGTAGAAAAAGAATTACACATTATACAATATTTATCAGAATTTCCAAATGTATTAGTTGCGCTCTACCTTAAAAGTTGTCCCAACAACCAGCAGCAAAAATGTGTTTTGTGGATTTATTTAATCCTCAGTAATTTAATTCATCCTCCATCTGTAAAACAGGCTCAAAATAAGAAACAATGACTAAGACTTAACTACGTCACTTGTCCAGACTTTTGCTTCAGGTCATTTAGCTTTGCTTAATATTATCCTTAAATCTAAAAGTTGTACTTTAGGCAACATTCCTAAATGGAATGAACATTTCTTTCATTAGCTGCTCTCAGAGCCAGAAAGAGAGACAAAAACATCTGCCTGACATTTGCATGCTGAAATACAATACGCAGCTACTTTATCTCCTCTTTAGACTAATTATGTATTAACGTGTTTTACAAAAAAAAATCATATTGCATTTATTGCCAAATGAGGTGTAAGTTAATCATGTTCAATCTGCACTGAGCACTATCAGGAACAGAACACCAATTTATCACTTATTTATTTTACCAGTCTCTTAGCAGTCTTGCTATTCACGCAGCATTAACCCCATCATCCAACGTCAGCCTCCACTTACTGCCCACGTAGAGACAAGACCCAGCTAGGATTCGTCCATCTGCAGCATGACACACCAGGTTGTCTCCTGACTGCTGCTGGGAGCCTCCGAGGCTGTGAAGGGTGACGCTCAGGGTGCTGGAAGACATGATGCTGTAGGTGCTGCTGGGCAGGCGCAGCCCGTTCAGGGTCCAGTACAACGAGCTGGGGTGGAGGCCGAGCTCGGGGCCGAGCGTGCAGGTGGCTGTCAAGCTGGAACCAATACGCAAGATGGGATCCTGAGGGTAGATCACTGCAACATCTGTGTTTAAACAGAACAACAGGCTTTCATTTTGTATTTAATAAAGAAGAGTCATATGATTGTATTTTTTTTTACTAAAACCTAATCTTACATACATTTACCATTTATTCAACAGAGCTATTAATCCTCATGTTTAAGTGCATTCTTTAACGCAGATTAGATGTAATGTAAAAAACAGAATGAGGGCTTTCATCGATTCAATAATGGCTGTTTAGCTGTGTTGCCAACTTTATTTCTTTTATTTTTGGCTCAGACCACAACAAAGCAGCAGCTCAGCACATGCAGCATGTAAGACGTGGTAATGAAGTGGTTTTATGGAGCGCACTCAAAGGTCACTCCAGTTTGTTAGTAATATCCTTGAATGCTGTTTTTTCCACACCAAAACGTAAAGCGTGCTTGTATGGTTGATACTCAAGAGCGGGGGTGTCCAAACGTTTTCATATGTAGGTCAAAACTATCCAGATGAAAGGACTCGTGGGCCACAAAAATATGAATTTAACTCTCAATGTGAACAATATTTGGGAGAAAGAACTAATTTTGGTGGAGAAAGAGTTTTAAATTCTAGTAGATCCAAAACATTAAAAGCTTAATAAACACTAAGCTTACAATTTGTATTAAAATGATTTGATTTATTTGATTTGTTGGGTCTATGTTTGCTGTTTTCTTGTGTGCGGAAAGTTCATTTTTGTCTGCTCTCTTCAACAAAAGGGTAACCATGTGACCATGGACGGCCCAAAAGGCAGATGGAAGTTCTGAAAAATCGTCCAGCTGTCAGTCGCTATATCAGATTCATTAAAGGTTTGATAAAGTTGATCAACTTGTATGCAGATGATACCATGTTATATTCAGTTAAAAATGTCCAGTTTCCCTCTTTATGATTTTATCAACCAATATTTAGTCAAGTTTTATGAATCATTATCTAAAAGTCTGCTTTCTGGTCAAAATCAGTAAAGGATTTTGGTGCTTTCTACCATGAAGTGAAAATAAAATATTAAAGCCAAAGGTTTGTATTTTGTTTAATATTGCTCATTTTGAGAATTTTTATCCGTTTCACTGTTTTACCTAAACATTATATAAAAAGGATTAACAACTAATTTGCAGAAAGTCTGCATCGGCCTCTGGCTAAAATGATACCATTCTTAAACTGCAGTTGTGGGCCACAAAAAATCACTCCAAGGGCCGCAAATGGCCCACGGGCCGCACTTTGGACACCCATGTTCAAGAGGAACTCTGTTGGCTGTTTGAATGTGGCATTCAGGCCTGTTTTTTCTATGCCGGTTAATGTAGGTGAAGCACCCACACCTGCCCCCACCCTCATTCGCCCCACTCTGGGCCCATGAGCAAGGCCCTTAACCCCCATCTCTCCCTAAACAGATCTCTCTTGAAAATGAGTTCTTGTGGCTCAATGAGACTACCTGTATAAGTAAAGGGTAAATGGAAAAAAATAATAATGTGGAGGATTTTATTTGGCGTGCTGCATGTGAGTGGTATAATCCTCCTGATGCTGTGGGTGTTACAAAACCATTTCTAATCTCTGCAGATTAAGATGCATTTATTGTGAAGATAAAACACAAGGGAAGAGAAATATAAGGAGGTCAGGCAAAAACACAGACTAATGCTGACTTCTTTTCTTTAAGTGGAAAATAACACAGCTGGCCAGCACAGCTATGCTTTGATCAGTTTTAGGATATGAATCTTTTTAATTGTTTCTTTACTGTCATAAATATACCAAACCTTCCCAAAATAATTAGCCTTAAAGGATAATAATCTACTGAAACGTTGTTATTGTGATAAAGTTTGTAGATGTAACTTTTCTCATGAAACTTGTTGAAACACAAAAAGCTCTAACCTCAAACTCTCAGACAGAATAACGTCAGATTTGATCAATGAAACAAAATGAAGTAGAAGGACTCAATAATTTTATACATTTATATTTAAATACAATTAAAGATTACAATTCATTCAACGTTTATTCTTACATGTTAGTCCCGTTGAGCCTCGAGGATTCATTTACAAGAGAGACCTGATTTTAACAGAGTGATGACAACAGTAGACAATCATAAAATAAAGCATATTATAAATTGAGATTTTTTTTGTTGTTGAGAAAAATAAAAGGAAAAAAAAAAATAAGATACATTTGTTTTTAAGAAAACTTAATTTGAGTAGACGTGTTCATCTCCTGCAGTCTGATCTGTAAAGGTGAGCTTCAATAAGTTTGAACAAGTTGGATGTTCTACTTACATGCCGCAGACAGCAACACATCTGGAACAAGAAGCAGCACAAACACGGAGGGAGTCATATTTCATGAGTTGCTTTATTGTGTTAAAGTTTCCTCTCGTGACAGACACAGAGCGGTGAAGCTGGGCAGAGTGAACTGCAGCCAGAGGAAACACGAGCACTGTGTCTCTGCAGCAGCAACAAGCTCAGGTTCATCCTGTTCGCTCCTCCTTTGTCTTCCCACACGGTCTCAAATCATCAGTGCTGCTCAGCTTGACCCAACCCAGACACACATACAGCACAACCACCTTACACCAAGGCACACGCTGGACCCCATGTTTCCCTGTCTGCACTCTGACAAAAGACTAAGATGAGGAGATGAAACTTAAAAAAAAATGTATTTAAAAAAGGTTTTGGATAATTTACAATAGATAAAGAGCTTTGCATTAAAAAAATGAATGGAAATGAACATATTCATTTCATGTTAGGAAATGAATGTATGTAGTCAAGTGGTACTCCAGTAGGAATTCATCAAATTAGATCAGATTTTCTTTAGTTTCTGTTTAAATAACAAAAGATTTGTAAACAATTTCTTAAAAAACACATAAGATAAAATAGAGATTTATTTTTTTATTTTATTTTTTTATTGAAGGACAATGATTTCACAAGACATGTATGAAATGAATAATCCTAAATGCTGTTTTTTATGTAAATTATTATTATTATTATTATTTTACGTGAGCTCGTTGCTTCAAGTCTTAACATTTCTGTTGGATCTGAGTCAGAACCTAAACATTATATTATTTGACCTGTCTAACATGACATGTGCTGACAGGACTGTCGTTTAGCTGCATCACCCACTTCCTGTTGAGATTCAGGCCAAAGTCCCTCAAAAGTCGCCAACACAGTTTCAGAGTGCAATTAAATGTTGCAAAATAAACACCAGAGTTCATGCTCAATAATCCAGATATAAAATACAACAATGTTCACTCAGGTCATCTGGACGCTTTCTTTTTTTTTTGTTGTTGTTGTGCTGAGACGTTTCGCCCTCCTGTCTGGAAGGCAGTCTGAGAAAACATGAACATCATGAACCATTTCCTTAGATTAATGAAGTCTTCTGAATGGAGGGCGAAATGTCTCAGCACAAAAATAAAAAGAAACCGTCCGGATGACCTGACTGAACATAGTTGGATTTTATACCTGGATTATTGAGCATGGACTTTGGTGTTTTGAACCAGTTTGACAAGACTGTCGACGAGGGAGAGGGTGGGCACCGGAAGCCATTTTAGCACCAACATAACAGTTTTTTCCACTTTGGAGTAAGCTGTTAGGGGAGAAGCAGTTTAGTTTGGTGTTTCCTCAGACTGATGAAGCCTTCTGGATGGAGGGTGAAATGTCTCTGCACCCCAAAAAAAAAAGAAAGAAACTGGCCAGATGACCTGACTTAACATTGTTGGATTTGCAAAATAAACTCATTATACTATGAATGCAAACTGAATACTGATGCTTGCTATTAAAAAAATGATAATAATTTGTTTGTAATTTTTCAAAAACCCTGATGTTTTACAGCCCATTGCAGAAAAGCAGCAGCCTTTTTTATTTAAAAGAGACACGTTATGTTTGAACACTTTCCTGTACTCCCTGATTGTTCTTGTTTGGACACATTGATGTCAGAAAGTTCTTCAGTTGTGCATAAGAAACATTTACAAATTGTTTGTGTGGTTCGTGTTGGTCAGTCTTCGGATATCTCTTCATTATTTGTCTGACTGGTTGATGCCATTCCACTGAGAATCTCTGACTTTAAAACTAATGAAAAATCTCATTTGTTCTGGACATTAAACATTAACAAACGTATATTATCTTTGTCCTCCAAATTCTCACTGAACAAAACATCTAAAAAAGCACATTTTATATCTTCCAGACAAAAAAAATAAAATAATAAAAATAATAATAACTGCCTTCAAATAAATTGATCAGATATGTACAAAATTCTCTAAAGTTTAATTGTTTATGTGATTTAAGCACAGTACTTAAAAACTGATATTTTTAAATAACATAAGCAAAAATGCAGACACTTTCAAAGCAACTTTTATTTTAAGGAAGTGGAACATATTTTATGTTGTTATTGTATTATTTTTCATTATATTTATTCTTTAATCAGGGCTTTTACTACAAAATAACACAATGCATTTTTTTTTTTACAAACCATGCAAAAAACAGATTACCAACTTTTTTAATCATTTACTAACTTGCATAAATCCACACTGGACAATACCTGTCAAACAGAAGGTATTATTCCCAGCTGCACCCCCCCCCCCCCCCAACCCTAATGGTTTCAGATCTTTACGTTAATCATTTTGCCAAGCATTTTTGTTTTGTTGAGTTTCTGATATAATTTATTGTCCAGCACTTTGGTTGGCTCAGGTTGTCTGTTTTATAAATCAAGTTGATTAGATTAGAATTGTTCTAGAATTGCGCCGCTCAAGGTGGCTGCATGTTGGAGCAGCTCTGTTACTTTCATTCTGAGATTTTGCTTTTGGAAACTTTAATTCCTCTTTTTCTGGATGTAAAGCACATTTTTTTGGATGATTGTTTCCTCTGGTATCGGATGCTGTGCAGCTGGAAAGATTTTTACAGAAACTTTTTTAGTTTTGGACATTTGCTATGATGCGTAACCATGGCAACAAGGCAGTTTCTACAACCAACAGCAGCTGATTAATATTTCAAAAGCTCAAGTAATATCTCAACTACAGCCCTAAATTTCAAATGAGTTGAAAAGGATGTTCTGTGGACGCATTCTCATCTACCTGCCAGCTGTGCTCGAGTGCCTGACCACTGAGATCCTGGAACTAGCAGGAAACACGGCTCATGACAGCGGAAGGACAGGATCGTCCATCAGCACCTACAGTTGGCTGTCCGCAGCGATGAGGAGCTCAACAAGCTGCTGGGAGGAGTGGCCATCGCCCTGGGAGGATTTCTGCCCAACATTCAGGTGATCCTGAAGCCCAGGAGGCCAACCAAGTGCAAGTAAACGGATCAACATCTGTGGCCAGTTTTTTCAGATCTGCTATAAGACGGACCATCTCAAGAGATCCTTCCCACCCACAACCATCAACATCTAGAACAACTCTTTTATGAAACAAGGAAAATAAGCTACAACAACATTTAATTTCCCTCTGGGATTAATAAAGTATTTTTGAATTGAATTGAATTGAATTGAATAAAACGTGCAGCCTTTAGTCTCATTAAGAGAAAAACACTGATAAAAACAGCATCTATAAATTCAGGTTATTGCTTCATTAAAGTCTTTCTCCTCAGGTGAATTCATAAAACTCTGATAATCATAATATTACCATCTGATAATCATATTAACACTTAAACATCTGATAATCATAAAATTAACACATAAACAAGTGATAATCAGAATATTAACACATTATATACAGTAATATGAACACATTATATACAGTAATATGAACACATGATATACAGTAATATTAAAATAAATATCTGATCATATTAACAC